TTGAGTTTACGGCCAAGAACAAGTCTTGGCCATAAACTCCCCAAAAATGTCACAAATTATGATGTTTAATCCCTTCTAATAGTCCAAGACACATACCATTAAAATTAAGGAAGTGAAATAAGGCCCTAATCATACATTTTGGAGTGTCACAAGAGTTTACGGCCAAGCTAGGGGGCTTACGGCCGTAAACTCCCAAAGTATGGCCTTTGGGCCATAAACTCCAAGGGAGTGAGCTCGTGGACCCTCCCGTAAATCATTCATGACCTTGTACCACTCCCGGGAACCCTTTTTAGGCCTTAAAACCCCGAAAACGATGCTAGAATGTCCAAATACTACAATGAAAAGCATAAGATAATTAACTTCTTGTAAAATACATATTGCATATGACATTAGGGTCCTAGGAGGTGCTCAAGTGGTTATTGGGTACCAAACGCTCAATCGACACTTTTTCCCGATTTACCCGATTCACCCGATTTCCGCGATTTCAGGTGAGTTCATACCCTTAAATGAACCTTTCAAATGTTTTATATGTTTTAGGGGGGAGATACAAGTTGAATATACATGTTTATGAAAAGTTATACAAGACTATTTTTCAGATTACAGAATTAATCACATGTGATTCACAACCTGTAGTTCAAATCACATGTGATTTATCACTATGCTTTATAAATAAATCAATTGTTTTCAAAACTATCTTGGATAAACAAACAAGTTTTTAAATGTTTTTTCGTACAACACTTTGTTTAATAAAAACTCCTTATAAGAATGTAACCACACTAATATATTTATATAAGTAAGACTTGAAGGACTTAGGACCGATAGCTCGCCTTATTTCCTGTTTCTTGTTTGATTGTGGGCTTAGGGTAGTGGTTATCCGTCCGACTGTCATTGATTTCTTAGTTATATATATCGTATATTAGTACGGATCACGAGTACTTCTTATTTCATTAGATGCCTAAATCACTAACCTGATTAGAACTACACACACTAATTTAACTATAATAGGTATAGTTAAGGACTCTATCCCTTGTTTCAACTACTATTCTACACTACTATAATTCTCTCTATTATGAAGCAATACACTAATAAGAGAATACCATACAAGTTATACAAAAGACTACTACACTATAATACAAGAGAATGTACTAATCATGAATAATTCATTAATCCACTACGAGATACTCTATACGCTACACACTACCCGAAGTTTTCCGATAGGAAGACGACACTATATGTATAGATCTATACGGGGCAGACGCTATTACATCCCGACTGATAACTTCAGTCCGAGCCGCTCAGGCCCAGGGATGCCTTTACTCTACCACACTATACATGACTGGGAAGGTCATGAGGGTCCGCTATTACTCACATTATTGGTAACATACAAGAAAGACACTATAACCGCACTAAAATACTAAAAGAAAGATGAAGTAATATCCCGAAGCAAATAATTATCTAATACTAAAGGATGCTGCACCACTATATATACTCCAAGAATAACTACTATATTGCATTACTTAATGGTGAGTCACTATTACACTACTATGATAAATGGCATTCAAAGATAGAAACAACATATTTCTTAAAGATTTTCATTTACTATACAGTTCTGGAAATACAGGATTTTAGGTTTTACCACTATTTATGATTACAAACTTCAGTTTCTACTAATGACTCTAATGCTTTTTATACAAGTACTCACACTAAATTCTTATGAACTCACCAACTTTATGCTGATATTCTTTTCAAAATAACTTGTATCTTCAGGTCAAAGATAGACAGGTACAGCCGCAACATTTTTGGAGAAGATGGAGGATGCAAGACCCATCTCTTATTTTTGTTTACTTTTGGTGTTTGTCAAACATTACAAAACACACTTGTAAATACACTTACTATGTAAATGAAATGGTTGTATGTTTCTTGTTTTTACTATTATACAATTGTGATGATACTGTACACTACGTCATCCACCCCGAAACGTATTCCGCCATTATCGGTTTTTGGGTGTGACAGATTGGTATCATAGCATTGTTTATAGTGAATCAAGTATATCAACGTATAAAAGATATACGAACTATAAACACTTCGGGACTAAAACATTCTGACCAAGAATATATACTGTTAAGTGTCTAAAAGATTTAACTAAGTATATATATACACACATCACTATAAAACACAGAAGTCAGTATCGTCCTAGAACAAAACAAAAGTATTAAGATTGTTGGATAGCACAATTGAGCTTAGAGACATATAGTCACATTTAGGGGGATGTAGCCTGATCAACTACGTTTTCCTGGGAGTGACTAGCATGTGCCTAAGATTGGTTGTGGTGTTACAACAAGTCTAAAACTTACCAACACTACCACAATAACGTTAACATTAGAATACTATAGGAGTATTCTGTACCTTTAAAAACATACATCTGTGAAAAACTAAAAAGGGTCGTTACTGATGGAGCAATAGTTACTAAATGGATACTTTCCGGTTACATGTGACTAGGGCGTTATAGACTTAGAATCTGTGATCTTTGCTTTACTTCCTGTTCCTTGTTTGGTTGTGGATTTAGAGTTAGGGTCACTTATTCAACGGACTATCCTGCCCCAATCACATGTAATTAGTATGAATTATGCAAGTATTGGTCCCACTCGTGACGACCATCTTATAAATAATTTAGGTTAGTACGCCTATTAATTCTTCTTTTCCCCTTTTTCTCGCATAGATACCATGGCTGGCTTCCACCCTCCTGGCGACCCATACTACCCAAACCAGGGTAATGGGGGATGGCTCAGTGAAGAGTCGGACGATGATCACCCGATCCCCTTGGATGACCACCGAGCAGAAGGCTTTCCAGATAACTCCGACTCCGAGCCAGAAGTTAATAACCTACCTCCTGGAGTTCTGAACCCCAACCCCGTCCGACATTTCAGGGCCCCACTCCTATGTGGGCCCTATCCTTGCATAGATGGAGCGAAGAGCAGCTTCAGCCCATGCCATACAATGGAGACCGAAGTTTCTACAACATAAACAAAGGAGGATCAGCAGATCAGGTTCTGCCCATCATGATCCGAAGGATTGCCAGGAATGTCGAGCAAGGTCAAGCTGCAATAGGTCGAGTTGTAGAAGTGGATGCCAACTCAAATCTCAACACAGTTCGCATCCGCCAACTCGAAGAAGCCATGGACAGGACAAGGAGGACTAACGAGGCTCTGCAGCACCAGCTGGCTGCATCCCGAGCGAAGTTGGAGAACTCCGTGCACGCCAAAGGACTCATGATCGACACCTTCAAGAAGTTATGCGTCAGCTAGCAGATCTGAGGATTCGCCCAACAAGCAACCGTCGCCAGTAAAAGACGTCTAGTTACCGCAATCTTTTGTTTAATGGATTAACCTTTTCACTCTATGTTCCGTAGATCTATTATCTGTAAATATTCCTAGCTTGAAAGCACTCTAGTTAAACCTCTAAACTGCCAACATTTTCTCTATGGTATGATGTAAGACCTATTGCTAGGTCAAATTTTCATGAACTTGTGTTGCATCATTAATACCAATATATTGGCAGTTGATTTCTCTATTGTTATAACTCTCATCTTGATCTTGGATTATGTTGATTTAATCCACGAAACACTCTATTTATATTCGCAATAGGCTCTTACTATTGCTATCATTTCTATAATTCTTCCAGTAAAGGATGCCTCCACGAAAGCGTCCCACCAGGAAGACCCGCAACTCAAACCCCTACTCCACCACCCCCTCCTCCACAGATCGATCAGGTGCTATTCCAAACAGCGGTGACTGCGGCCGTGACAGCAGCCATGGCCCAAATGAATTCTGGGGATGCGAGCGGTGGTAACTCCAGGTTCGATGAAGTCCATCATCGGGTGCAGGGATGTACTTATAAGGATTTCATGAACTGTAAACCTACTTCTTCGACGGTACTGGAGGAATTCTGGCATTATCCCAATGGTTCGAAAGAACCGAAGCGGTGTTCGAGATGTGCTCTTGTCCCGGGAGAGCAAAATCAAGTTCGCTACTGCTACACTCACAAACAGGGCCTTGACATGGTGGAACGGCCATGTTAGTTCACTTTCCTTGGTCACAGCCAATGCTATGGGCTGGGACACTCTGAAGGAC